TTAGATTAATTCTTTGAAAAAGTTTGAAATAACCAATTCACCCCCCTCTTGGTTAGCCTATCTTGGGTTTACAGGAAGATCTCTGCGTAACTTCAAAAATGTGTAAAAGTATAAGCTAATCATTTATTCTTCTTTCAAGCTTCAGTTTTGCCACAACCATCTCCACAAATGAAAAAACGAGAGTAGGAAAAATAAACTGTTATATATAAACACAAGAACTTGCACCTCATTGGGAGATATCCTAGAAATTGGAAGTAGCTCCCATCGTAAGAAATCACAGATCAACTCCTATATCCAGGTCATTCTTTATTGGTAGATAGGTTACTGGGTTTCTACTTTGGTTCTACAGCTAACCATTCATTTCTTCGTTCTTAATCAATATCTCTTCTAAATTATAACCCATATCTAGGAAGAGTAATAATCAGAGCTTTATGCCTTTTTAAAGTAATGTCATGCAACCCCTAACCTTACAGTCTGTCTCTGTCCCCATTACCCGCCTAAGCATTGACCCAATAATAATCCATTTTAGACTAATTAGTAATCCAAAATCAATTTATTTTCACAGTACCCTGACTCCAGGGGAATTCAAACTCTCACGGCCTCTTGAAAGAAAGATGTCCCAAACCTGTAGAATGTGGGGGCCAATAACCAACCACCCTCGTACTATGATCATTGTATGCACAGTTTCTTGCATTAATGCAGATCATAAATGCAGAAAACACGGTGTTCTACAAAAATCACGCGGACCTCTTTTGAATTCCAAACAAATAAGTTCCATCATAATTAACATTGCCATTATAAGTCTATTTGTCATAATCACAGTTGAACTACCTAAAGGTCCCAAAAGCATTAGTATTGCATACTCATTGTCTTCCTCTTTTTCCTACTAAAATAGGGATTGGCAGAAGCCTCCGAAAAAAGAATACATGATTCACTAGCACTTTCACCCCAAAGAAAAATATGAAAATGAAGCCCAAAATATAAACAAAATGAGATTGCAAGGAAGAGGCACAAAAATTGTATCTTCTCTTACAAGGTAGATACTAGGCGAGCAGGTCCTGTTGGATCATAGTTAATTAACAGAGCAGCCTTCAATGGTTGACCTGGGAATAGTTTACTAATTCATCGCAGTGTTGCAGTTTACAAACTTTCCAGAATTATAACAGATATACTTCAAACAATAGTGTTAAATGCATGCTCACCTGAAGAACCAACGTTGTTGGACGCCCATTTGTCCCAAATTCTATGCACAAAACCCCAGTCCATTGTAAATCTTCCCCAACTCCAAACCAACAAGTACAGCACAAGTTAGAATGGGCAAAACAGCAAAGTCATTCGTCAAACAGTTGTCGTACAAGATTACTGTTGGAATGGTTAATATCTTATACACAATTATCTGAAATTCCAAAGCGTTTAACAAAATGGAAAAGTTTACCTATTAGAACTCGAGATGGAATTATTACGCTTATATGCTCACTTCTAACTCCGACAACTTGCTGCGATAATTTTCATCTGATTTTACGTATGATAAAGATCTTTCAAGTTTCAACAGACGTAAGAGAAATGTTCACAGTTAGTCCCTACCTATTGACATAGATGCAAGTTGATCCCTAATCTATTTCGTCCACCCATTTTAAGATTAATGGGGTAAATTGTGATAAACAACCGAGCCCTTGTTTGAAAACTATTATTTTTAATTTTTTTTTCTGCATACTCATTTTCAATCACACATTCACGTAATAAAATATTATGCACATAAACTCAAAATTTTTTCTTACTTTTTAACCACATTTTCCTAAAAATCACTATTTAAAATATTAATTGAGGGAATTGAGGGAAAATGATGTTTTGAATAGTAATTTTTTGGCGAATAGGAGTAGGAAAAAAAATCGTGTTTACGTTCAAAATGTAAGAATGTGTGGTTGAAAATGAATATACGAAATAAATAGTTTTCAAATAAAGAGAGTCAGACATGGACTAAATTTGTTGGTTACATTTGTGGATTTTTGTCATGTAATAGTTCTGTTATGCAGTCCATTTTATGCTTGGGAACCACATGACTTTATCTCGGTTCCTCCTACACGTTTGATTCTTCTATAGACATCCTTGATGTTGAGTCTATTCTTTGAGGGCAGAGCCAGTGGATACACTGAAAAAATAAAAAAATCTAATAGTAAAAAAAAAGAAATTTTCATTTAAGAAAAAATCCCTTAAAAATTTAAAGCCTAGACCTGCTCCTTCCTTCTGCCCCTGGAGCAACACATTGTTTGAGCCTAAACATGATGAAGTTTTTTGTCAAGTAGAAAAGATGCTAGTATCTTGTTTGTTGTTACACAAACAAGTGTGCAGCTTAATTGCAAATTTCTTTTTTCCTTTTCGCATCGGCCAACATGTGAATCAAGTTGCTCGCTAAGACCCTATTTGACAATCATTACTTGGAAAAAATGATATTTTAAATATTGATTTTTAAAAGAACGTGCAATGACAAAGTAGAGAAGAAACTTTAGCTTACGTGCAGAATATTTTATTGTAGAATAATGCTATTTAGCCCCACGGGGGTAACAGGACATTACATGATATGTGAAATTAAATAAATCATTTCATTTTACATTTCATTTAGTATATCATCTAGCGCCGCTTAGACTAGAGTTGTAACCCAATGGAGCTACGTTGCATTACTCTTTATTATGTGAATGTATGGTTGAAAATGAATATGTAAGAAAAATAGTTTTCAAATAATGATTGTCAAACGGGGCTAAGTTTTGCATTCCAGTTGTCTTGGATATTCAAATAAATTTGTCATTTATCTTCTACAATTCAACTCATCAAACTAATTACCAAAGTTTTTCAGTTCAAACTAACAAAATACAAGTAAATTGTTTATAAACAAAAACAAAATTTGAAGAACTAGTCAAAACCAGCAACAGAAACCAAAGGCAAAGCAATTTAAAGAATAATATAGCATAGTGCAAAAATATTCAACAAATCCCTTTCTCAGTGATATCTTCGCATTTGAAAAGGCTGAATAGGTTAATCTATAGTGTATATCTCATATCTGCATGCTTCCTGTTCTGATGTAACTTCTTCACTTTAACATCCTCATAATAACTCATTCCCATAATCTATGATAGGAATCACAATTCTGGTAAAAAGGAAGATCAGATACTCATGGAATTCAAATTCCCCGTGTCCACCAAACTATAGGGTCGCCAGTCACGGCATGTGCCAAGATTAAAAATCGTCCTAATTTTGAGAATCACAATACTGAGGAAATTCACATTGGCAAGGACCTTTCCTGACCTGCATCATGTGAGAAAAGTGAGAAAATAATCAAATGAGGAAAGTGAAAAAATTCACATTCGCAAGTGGCATTCTCCGAATAGCATAAGCATAAGAGGAAATATGTTAAATTATACAGGGCATCATATTTTTTACAAGGTCATACACAAAACAATTAATGAAGTTCAACATTCAAAGCCTGAAAGGATTTTATAATCAAATGGAGAAAGGCCAACTTCAATGCACATACCTTCCTTAATGTAAGGGACACTCTCCTTGGGCCCCTCTGGATTTCACTGTCCTTCACTTTGTCCACCTGCATCACAAATAACAAATCTAACTTTGAGAAATTAAAGAATACATGATCAAATAAATAACAAGGTAAAGCTTACTTTTCCACTGCAAAGGATAAAATTAGGCTTAAATATATGATCTGTGGCAAACTTCCGAACACTGAAGAAATTCCTAATAAAACTGTAAAAATGCAAATGCATCCAAACTATTAAAATACAAATATATGCCAACGTTACTATAAAAACTGACGTACTCCAAATCAAAATCGTGGCTGCACAAAGCTTACTGCCTCGTTCATGTCTAAAAAATAAAAGCACAAAACTTTATTATGTCAAGCAATTATACCTTAGTTCTGGTTGTTCTGCATATATATCGGTACAAAAAAAAAAAATTGTCCAGGCCTGTGCACAAAATTTTCATCTCAGTCTACTACACGCCTCTAGCTGATAATTATAAGTATTGGAAAACAAATGGAGTAATCCATCTTTGTTCTTTTGAGTTCTCATTAAAGATGTATATGTTAATTCACTCTGTATAGATTCTATAGAAGATTGTCGAACATCTGAAAAGATACAACAAGTACTATACCTTGTGGTGTGGAATGTAATGATGCCAAGCATATCGACCCTCCCCAGATATCAATAACATTGATCGAGGTGGAAGATAAATAGCTCTCCGCAAGAAATTTTAGCTATTTTCACACATTTGCTCCTCTGCATCAAAACTGGAAGTATATCTTGACAACCAAACACCTTTTGAGTACAGTCTGAATTCCATGATGCAAGGGCTTGCCAATGAAAGGCTGAAAATTGATCCCTCAAATGCTGAATGGGTGTCTATATGTGGAGACAAACCAATCCCAGGTGGATAATCATTGACCTGTTGTTGGAAAGGAAAACAATTCTTATTAGTCAACCAAGAATATGAATCCAAGCAGAACTACAACACAATTAGATAGAGTTTAGAGTTTAGTTACCGTTAATTGATCCAGACATACATCCATAGAAGAATCAATTTTTTAAACATTTTGATCCCACCAAGTAATGGAGACACAAAGGATGGAAGATCACCCAAGTAATGATTTGTGTTAACGTTCCTTATCTGTAAGAGGGACGGGAGACGGGAAAAGAAAAAGAAAACGAAATATCAAATCAAATAATGCTGAACTCTTCTTTTGGCAAGATGTTGCCAAGTCTGACTATCCACCGCTGCAAGTAATTCCTATAATACAAGGAATTCATAATATAACAGAGTAAATATGTGGGTGTGTGAGAAGAACAAATTGGGTAAGAGCCCATATATTACACCAAAGGTTATCCTTAACCTCCTCTTCTTTAGCAGTGACAAAGTCATGAACTAAGTAAACACCAGGAATGTTTAAATCTGAAGCTGATGTTGATACTGCATTAGTATCGTTGTCCTTAACCTAAAAAGAAAAACATTCAATCAATAAAATGAACAAACAATAGGAACAACTACTAAAAGGAATAGGAAATCTTATAAATCCACAAAAGTATAGCATCAAAATATACTAACTTTGAGTTCAACTATTAACTCTGCTAACCCATAAATGGTTTGAATCATTTGATTCTCAATTACGAAATCCATGGAAAGAGAAAATTGAGTCATAAGAATCATAACCTAGATTGAGCATAACTCAATATTCACCATTATCTGAGGATCACATATTTAATTCAAAGGTATGATTAGTTGAGGCAGAAGGTGAACTCATCAAATTACAGTGGATATTCTAATGTAAATTGTATATTGAACTACTACATATGCTTTGAAACTATTAGAAAGAGAGCTGAATATGAATAATGCTTAATTGGTCCACGGCTTCCACAGTAAATGCAACTTATACTGGAAAATTATTCAGTAAGACAATAAGTAAGCATCAATGCGTTCACAGTTATACACAATTGCCTCTTGAATTATTGCTGACACTGTGGATGGTTGAGCTCATTAAAGAACCATATCAAACCTGTCTAAATATGCAGTAACTTATACATATAAAATATGTAAAATCACAGGTAGTACAAAGTCCCACCTTGCCCAGTGATTGTGCAGAATAATGAATGTGCAACGAACGACCTCCAAGATCAGAACATGGGCACCCATCTAATTCCTTCAGCGCTGCTTGTGCACTAGTTTCCTCTTGATACAATAACACGGGTGTCACTCTCATCTGCAGCATAAACTCCCTTAACTTCGCCAAAGGTACCAAACACGGATATGATAGTCTCAAATGAAAGTCCAACTGCAGGCCCACAGTTAGCCACACAGAGGTTGGGACTTGACTCGCCATCCCCTCCCTTGGGACGTGTAAATCTCGGCAAGCCCATGATTCAAATTCTGTATTGAACAGAAAAGGGGAAAAAAACATTTGCCAATTGCTATTATCAAGGAACTATGGAAGAAACATAATTTTTGACTTACAACAAAAATACAACTACAACTACAAGCTAAGTCTTATATCCAATGAACGTCTTGTTGGCTATTTGAGTAATTTTTCTCCACTCTGATTGACTCAAAGTACCTCCATGAAAAGACCAAAGGAAACAAATCTTCGGCAACCAAATTTGGCCAAATTAATCACAAGCTTGTGGATTTTTTCCTAAGAAAGAAAGGCTATTAAATAGAACTTATCCAAGACAGAATTAATTGGGATAGCGAATGAAGGTTTAAATAAACATAGTAAGGCAAGGTTTAGCCCTTGTTTGATCCCCTTTATTTACAAAATACATTTTTCTCTCTTCTTTTCAATCACACATTCTTCAATAAAATAATACTACACACAAACCCAAAATTTTTTCTTACTTTTTTAACCACACATCCCCATCAATCTACTGATCCGGCGAACACATTCAAAAATTGATTTTCTTACAATGTAATTGGAGGTTAAACGAGCTTTGGAATCCAATCTCAAGCAACGAGACAAAATACCATACAAATATACGGATCAAAATATTTTGAACTCAAGCGAGACTGTGTTCCTCAATTTTACTGCAGTGAATGTAAACTGTCAACGTATAGTAAATCTAAATCAGAAAGGGGGGAGAGGGGGGGGGGGGGGGGGGG